TTTTTAAAAATATTTTGTGCTAAGATCAAACAAAATTTCTAGACGTTTTAATTGAGGATGATTGGGCAGTTGGGAGAGGATTGTAAGCACCTTTTAGCATGACTCAATACCCCTGTTTTACATCGAATTGGCTTTCGTTTAATTTTTTTAATTTTTTATATAAAAATATATGTGAGCATTTTTTCAAAACCAATTAAATATTTAGGTCCTTTTAAAAATAATTCATAACTACTACACTAAATTTTATAAATATTTATATAAAAGATCAAGTAAGATTATAAAAATGATGGAAAAAAGGTAAATTGTTTTTAAAAAATTGTCTTATATTAAATAGTGGAGCATTGTAGTTATCTTTGTGCGTCGTTATGGATATGGAGCTTGGCTACTGCAAGGTCTAAAACTTTTTTTTTTTTAAATGAGAATAAAACCTATTTGACTACCAATTGTAATGTAATTGTTGGGAGTTGTCAGTGTTCATTTTACATATAAATATTTACATTAAAAACGAGCATCCTTTGTTGTAATTTAAACATCAAAATTGCTTATGAAAAATCATTCAAACATTCACAATTTTTTTTAAATCAAATCAATTTCAAAAAATATTTTCTAAAACCTCACTACATTATGTTAATCAATTTTTTCATAAACAATTTTTTCTAATTGAAATCCAAGCACACCTTATATCATGTGGTATAACTGATTTATAAAATTGATTAAAAAGATCATTTTAAGCAAAATTGAAAGTAGAATTGAAAATCAGATAGAAATTTTACATCCAAAACACCTTATAACTATTTCTTCACCCGTAGCATCAAATTCTCTTGTGTTCACTTTCATTTTTTAACATTCTATATGGGTTCAAATTTATGTCTTGGCTTAGGAACAATATGATTTCTACATTACCAAAAACTATGGGAAATTTTTTGTTATACTAAGAATAGTTTGGAGCAAATCAGTGACCTCTGGGTTCGAGTTTTCATATTGGATTGTCTTGCTATAAATCATGTTCACTTATCAAATGGGTAGACACTAAATGTTCATGAGATGATTTTTGAGAATGTTGGATAAACATGCTCACTCAATTTAAGTGTTGGCAATGATGAACCAACATGCTAGTGAGTGTAGGCACTTGCCCTCACTCACTTCTAAAAAAATTACCTGCAAGACATGCAAAATTTACCTTTCCTAACTATTAATTTTAACATTTTGATTTTACTGAGTTTTAAATTCTAATAATTCCCCCCTTCCCCAACATAGGTCTTAGATTCACCATGGGTGTTGGTCACGTCTCTCACTTTGTGGTCATC